ATCACCATCGCTAGCATCATCATCATCATCGGAACACCATCATCACCATCTCATCCTCATCATCGACACCAGCATCATCAACATCATCATCAGCATCATCATCAGCGTCGTCATCATCGGGGCACCATCATCATCATTAACAACATCAGCATCAACATCAACATCAACATCATCATCATCATCATCATCATCGGGACGCCATCATCATCAGCATCATCGCAATCACCATCAAAATAATCATCATCATCGGGACGCCAAAATTATCATCAAACTCATCGTCATCAACATCATCATCATCGGGACACAATCATAATCAGCATCATCAACATCAACATCATGATGCCCATCACCATCGGGGCACCATCATCATCCTCATCATCATCATCATCACGATCATACAAATAATCATCATGATCATCACCGTCAATCCTGCCGTCCTCTGCGGGGACGGCGGCAGCCTTCAAAGAGGATAAGGCAAGGCTCTCTATTTTGCGCTGAGGCGCCGCCGCGGCCGAGCGTGCTCGGCAGGTTCCTGACGGGGTCGTCTGGGCCCGGAAGATGAGGCACCAGCAGAGGCTCGCGACACAGCCGGAGGAGGGGAAAGTGAGGAGCCAGAAAAGCTGCAGAGGACTCCGATGCGGACTGTGATAATGTGGCACACTTTCAATCGCCGTCAATCCTGCCGTCCTCTGCGGGGACGGCGGCAGCCTTCAAAGAGGATAAGGCAAGGCTCTCTATTTTGCGCTGAGGCGCCGCCGCGGCTGAGCGTGCTCGGCAGGTTCCTGACGGGGTCGTCTGGACCCGGAAGATGAGGCACCAGCAGAGGCTCGCGACACAGCCGGCCTCGCTGGCACCCAGAATCCCGAAGCCCCTGCAAGGGCACTCCTGGGCGGTGGTCGGGGAGGAGCTGGGAACGCAGTCAGAAGCCTGCGCTCGAGATCATTTGCCGCGCTGGCGGCGCTGCGAAGATGGGCGGCCGACAGCGCACTTCTCCTGCGCAACGTCCCCGCTGGCTTGGCGTATCGGCGGACAGACGAGGTGGCCAGCCGGCGGCCGCGGGTCTGCAGAGCTGTCGCACTCGCTCTGAAGCGCCAGGCGTCGTGGCTGGGCCCAGCATGGCGAAACGAGTGAGGCGAGAACGGCAACTGGGCATCGAAAAACTCGACGCGGAACTCGCGGCAGGCTGCCGCCCAGCGGGCGGCACTCAGACCAGGAAAGAGCGGAGCGGCCTGGTCGCCTGGGTGCGCAGCCGACGCCCTGGCGGCCAGCTGAGGACAAGCTGCGCCACCCAGCCGCGGCTGTGGGCGCCCAGGATGGTGGAGGCGTCGTACTCGCAGTTCTTGGCTGGAGGCGCTGTCGGGTCGTCCTCGTTGATTGGCGCGATGGTGATGACGACGTCCTGGGCGCCCGCCGCCGGCGGCGTCACGTGCCGCGCAGTCAGGGCCACCACCTCGGCGGGGCGCAAGTAGCAGTCGAATGCGATCACGGACGCGGCCGCCACGAGGGGGAGAATGCCCCCGCGTCGGAACCACGCGTCGCAGGCCAGGTGGAGGTACTCGACAGGCAGCGAGTCGCGCGGCTGCTCGGGCGAGGCGCGCGCGAAGCCGTGCAGAGCGGCCTTCGCGAGCGGCAAGGTGGCTCGGTCACGAGGCGCAAGCCCCAAGCAGTACGCAGCGCCATGCACTGCGCACCGCGCCTTGGCCGGTGGCAAGCCGTCGAAGAACGCGGCGCCCAGAAACTCGTCAAGCACCGCGCCCCGCGAGGCCGCGCCAGTCGACGTGGTCGGCCATCTCCACCTGCGTCTGCGTCTCTACCTGCGCGCCACCAGGCTCGTCCGTCTCGATGTCGAAGGTGGGGCAGACGGGTTCGCGCCAGTGTGAAACCACGCGAGGCGCCGCCTTGGCAGAGAGGCGCCTGCGCTTGCAGCTCGGGTCCGCGGCGGCGCCCGCTGCGGCCATGCTGCTGTCGCCCAGGTCGAAGGTCTCGGAAACACTCACAAGACCAACGGTCCAACAAACATCCATGACCCAGAACATGCGGCGGAGGAGGCGGGGGGGAGGGACGGGGATAAGGAACGCGAGCCCTTATGTAGCACCCTGCAAGAGTGAGGGGGCGGGCGCGGGGTGGGTCGCGGGCGGGTCGCGGGTTGGTCGCGGGCGGGTCGCGGGGCAGGGCGCGGGCGGGGCGACGCCAAACATACAAACAAACAAACGAACAAACAAACAAGCAAGCAAGCAATCAACATCAACAACAACAACAACAAATTACTAGCACGTGGGGACACTCCGTTCTCACCAGTGCCAGGGTTTTCATAGGGGGCGGGCAATGCCCCCACTTTGTGGGGGGGCCGGTTCAAGCTCTACCAAATTTCCAAACGACTCTTCGCCACCAGCCACACCCGGCTTCCCGCCCGATGACGTTCGGACACTTCACTTCGTGGCATGCGGACGACCGTGGCTACTATTCAGTGCCCCGCGGCCGACGACGACGGCGTGCGCGCGCAAAGAAAAAACAAATGTGTCCCGCATGGTATTATTTGACAGGGATGATGGCCCTGGCAGGTGCGCAACCGTTGTTGCAGAAGTTCGAAAAAGTTGCTCGCAAAAGCCCGTTTGACAGAAATGTTTAAAAAAGCGTTGGGTTTCCTACGAATCCGCAAGAGCGCGCGGGATGAAACTTTGACATTTTTTTTTTTAAAAAAAAAAACATTGATTTTTTGATGTTTTTATGTTAAAATCGCTACGAAAACTCAGGTTTGTGGAAGGATTTCGTCTTGCGCGCGCGAATTTCCACTTTGCCTTATTTTTTGCAATGGATTCTTGAAATGTGGTTATGTTAGAACAAGAAATGTCATTTTATATTGTTTTTTTGCAAGGGAAAGCGGGGGGGGACAAAACAACCGGATCCGGACCAACCCGTTTTGCCTGAGACTTCCTCACGAAAATGATGAAAATGCGGCTGCGGCCTAGGCGCGGCGGGGGGGCCGTGCACCAGGGGCCCCAACAATCATTATTCTTTAGAAGTAATAATGTTCAACAACAGCACCAACAACAACACCAGCCGCATCAATAACAAAACCAACAGCAACAATAACAAAACGAACAACAATAACAACTAGAACAACACGAACACCAACACCAACACCAACACCAACAACAAAAACAACAACAACAACAATATGCATCGCGGAATCCCACTTCAGCCACGCACCCAAGGAGAGTGAATGACCGTTCGGCCCGCAGACTCTGACGATTACAATGTACATGCGACTATGCACTCGTGCCTCTTATCGCTTTCGGTGGTTCTCTTATTGGGCCCATGGGGTGCATCGCATGTTGCGATGCGTTCCATTATCCTCCGTGCCGCTAGTTATCATCCCGCTCCTTGCTCGCCCTCGGGAAGGATGGGCAGAGAGCAAGACCCATCTTGCCAGACCCTCTGCAAACGAGTAGCAGGAGGATGCCAGGAGGAGAGGAGGAAAGATCATTATCTTCAAACGCAGCTCGCCGGCGCGCCCCCCCGCGCATCCCGCGTTTGCTCTTGACTGCGCTGCGCAGTCGAATATTACCTATTCTAGTTCGGACCGCTGCCCTCGACATCTATCTTCTACCACTCGGGCACGTCGGGTAGCTCGGTGCGGCACCTGACCGCTGGGCGCTCGAGATCGGCAGACGTGCCCCTCTGCCTGGCGCGGCCCTGCGGGGTGGCGGGTGCGCGGAACTGCTGGGGCTCGAGGGTCTCGGAGTCCGGTTCTGGAGGGCTCGGCTCGATCGGCTCGGGGCCCAGAGGGGCCGAAGGGCTCGGCTCGCTCTGCTTGCGGCCAGCAGGGGCCGAAGGGCTCGGATCGCCAGCCACAGGGCTCGGCACGGTCGGCGCGCCTGAGTCCTCGGTCTGGTCGACCTTGTCGACGTTCTCTGTCTGACCTGGGCGGTGCTCTCTCTCCCCCCCTGCCTCTCGGCCCCCCCCCCGCGGCCTTTTCGCTGCTGTTGCTGCTAACCTTCGTCCTCTTCAATCTCGTCCGAAAAGCTGCTAGGGGGTGAGGGGGGATGCCCGCCCCCCCCCCACCCCCTAGCTAGCAGCTTTTCGGGTGAGATTGAAGATCGAGGACGAAGGTTGGTAGCGCCAGCAGCGAGGAGAAGGAGAAGGAGAAGGAGAAGGATCGGGGGAAGAGGGGGAAGAGGAGGAGGGGATGAGGAGGAGGAGGAGGAGGAATAATAAGTGTTTAGTTAGACCAGACCTGCGGGGCCAGCAGAACGTTTCCGCCCCCTGCCCGCGCGGCGGACCTTCTGCTCCCTGATATCGTTCTTCTTCTCGGCGTCCTCGAGCGCCATCGTGCCGTCGATGAAGTTCTGGACGAACTCGTTCATCAGCTGCATGCCCATCCTCCCGCCCGTATCCCTGTCGTCGTCGAAATCCTGAGGATGCCGCTTTTCTCACGTGCGCTCTCGTCCTCGTGATCACCATCGTCGTCGTGTTCTCGTCGTCGTCGTCGTCGTCGTCGCCTTCCTCTTCCTCCTCCTCCTCCCCCTCCCAATCCTGTCCCGTGTTTCGGTGCCTCCTACCTCCCTCCGAATCTCCCTCGATCATCGTCCTCCTCATATCTTACTTCTCATTCCGTCCTTCGTGTTCATCTGCAACTTCTGCTTGCCGTTGAGTTTGATGCCGACCAGCCTCTCGATGCGCTCCTTCGTCGGGTAGTCCCACCTGGGCGGCCATCCTTCCTCCTTGCTACCCTCGTTTTCACTCCCCCGCCTCCTTGCCCTCGTCGTCTCCCCCCCCCCCCATCCTCCTTCTTCGCCCTCGCCCTCCTTCCCCATCCCCCCTCAAAAACACGAGGGGGGAAGGGTCGTGACAAGGACAGGTGAGAGGGGGAGGGGGAGGAGGAGGAGGAGGAGGAGGAGGAGGAGGAGGAGGAGTAGGAAGGATAAGGAGGAGGAGGAGGATGGGGGATGAGGATACTAGAGGAGGAGGGAAAGGATAAATATTTCTGGCGTTGCCACCTGAGGTGGCTCGACCAGGTCTCCTGCTTGTCCTCATTCGTCATCTTGATGCCCATGCGCTTGGCCTTCTGCTCAGCGTCCCCGTCGTCGGTGCCGTTCGAGTCCTTGCCCTTGCCCTTGTCGGTGCCCTTGTCGGTGCCTTTCTTGCCCTTGCCCTTGTCGGTGCCCTTCGAGATGCGGCCCGTGCCCTTGTCGGCGCCCTTCGAGGTGCTGCCCTTGCCCTTGTCGGTGCTCTTCGAAGTGCTGCCCTTGCCCTTGTCGGTGCCCTTCGACTTGGTGCCCTTGCCGGTGCCCTTCGTGCTTCCTTGCCCTTGTCGCTGCCAGCTGCGACCGTCTCGTTGCCATTGCCTTTGCAAGAGCCCTTGTTGATGGCCTTCCTGTGCGCCATCACCAGCACTTGGGGCGCAGCCCTGTCGCCGTCTGGCCATGTGGCCCACATTTCGTCGGTCTCGAGGCTGCCGCTTTTCTCGAACACTGCCGCGCAATATTCGGGAGTGTTGTTGTTGCCCTTCACGCGGTAAGCCATGTTCATCTCGCGGTCGCACACGTAGTGGAACTCCGACGTCTGCTCGACGCCCGTGGCCTCCACCTCTGGCAGCGGGGGAGTCTGGCGCCTCCGCGTCCCAGCGGAAGGTGCGCTCTGGCTGGTTGTCGCCCTCGTCGTCGTCGTCACCCTCGTCGGTGATCTTCGCGAAACCGATGGCCCTGAACCAGGCTGGAGGTCGGCTGGAGATCATTATTGACACCCAGCTACTCAATCTTTACGTTTTGCAGCTCCACCACATCATGCATGTGATCTGCGACCAATGTGATCTGCGTGCATGTGATCTGCAACCAATGTGATCTGCACGCGTGTGATCTGCAACCAATGTGCCGTCTAGGCACGGTTCACCTGACCTGATCCACATCGCGCTCACCCGTGCCCTACAACTAACCTTTCCCACCCGCTCCTCCCCATCATCATCCTTTCTTGCTCTTCCCCTCGCCCTCAAAACAATATCCTCGACAGCTTCGTCGCGTGGCGCAGCAGGCAGCGCATGCGCTTGCCCGTCTCCGTGCACCAGCCCTCCAGCTCGTCGTCGGATAATGCGAACCTCAGGAGGGGGGCTCGGTCGGAGCGTCGAGGAAGGACGAAAGAACGAGGAGAATCGAGGAAGGAAGACGGCAGGAAAAGATAACAGTGGACATGTGGAGGAGTTGCAACAGAAATCGTCGTCGTCGTCTCCTCCTGTCGTCGTTGTCGTCATCGTCGTCTTATTCCTTCTCCTCCTCCTCCTCCTCTTCCTCCTCCTTCTCCTCCTCCTCGTCATTTATCCTCCCCTGTTTCTCTCCGATATCCTCGAGCTGCTAGGCGAAGAACCGTCTCCGCTCTGCCACCGTCTTCAGCGCATTCTGCATCGTGCACGGGCGCGCGCTCAGGGCTGGCGAGAGTGGCGCGATTGCTTTCCGCTGGCCCTTGCGCGGGCCCCTACTCGATGTGGAGATGCCGTCGACGACGACGACGGTGACGACGACTACGGTGACGACGACGACGACGACGAGAACACGACGACGACCAACGACGACGACGACGAGGACACGACGACGACCAACGACGACGACGACGACGACGACGGACTGCGGACGACGGACGATGGACGACGGACGACGACGACGACGACGACGACGACGACGGACGACGACGACGACGGACGACGGACGACGGACGACGGACGACGGACTACGACCACGACGACGACGACGACGACGGACGACGGACGACGACGACGCCCGGCGACGACGCCCGACGACGACGGATGCCGGACGACGACGACGGAAGACGACGACGACGACGACGACGCTTGCTTTCTCCCTTCCTCTCTCTCCCTGTCTCCCTCCCTCCCTCCCTTTTTTTTTTTCTCTCTCTCTCTCTCTCTCTCTCTCTCTCTCTCTCTCTCTCTCTCTCTCTCTCTCTCTCTCTCTCTCTCTCTCTCTCTCTCTCTCTCTCTCTCTCTTCTCTCTCTCTCTCTCTCTCTCTCTCTCTCTCTCTCTCTCTCTCTCTCTCTCTCTCTCTCTCTCTCTCTCTCTCTCTCTCTCTCTCTCTCTCTCTCTCTCTCTCTCTCTCTCTCTCTCTCTCTCTCTCTCTCTCTCTCTCTCTCTCTCTCTCTCACAGCGAGGGAAGCGCCCACCACGTCAGCCCCCGCCCCGACGCTGTCGACCCCGACCAGGCCACAGCCACGGCGGAGGGCGGTATAAGCGCCTCTCGCCAGCCCAGCCCATCACCCTGCGCGGCGCCGATCCGATCCCCGAGCAGGGCGGATTCCGAGCGCGCTAATGCCCAGGCGACCTCGCCACGCGACCGCCGCACGGGCGGGCGCGTCCCGCGCAGCAGGACCTGCAGCCGCCACAGTTCACGCAAGGCCCCAGGGAGCTCCACGAGCTCGCCGCCTCGCGAGACTCAGGCTGATGGCCGAGCCCCCGAAGTGGTGCCACGCTTCGGAGCCAGCGTCATCGAACCTGGCCAGGTCGACCTCGAGCCGACGCCGTCCACGGACCACGAGCCGCCGCTGCCCACCCGCGTGATCGTCCCCATCGACGAGGCGCCAACCTTCGACCCGTTCAAGAACAAGTACCGTGTCAAGAACCTTGTGGCGGGTTTCGGCGGTGGCTCACCGCTCTCACCTCAGAGTCGGGGCGGAGCCCCCGCCACCTCAGCTGCTGCCGCGGCAGCGGCGGCCCCGCGGGGAATCAGCCCTGTCCGCAACGTGGGCCTCACGGCAGCGGGCATGGACGAGGCCCAGCGCCAGGCCTCCGACCGTGCTGCTGGAGCCGTTCCACCAGATGCTGCTCATCAAGATACTGACGGGGCGGGCGCGCCACCGCAGGAGGGACCAGCGGTGTCGCGTGCGCAGTACATGCGCGTGCGTTGTGCCGCCGCCGCGCCTAGCCGCCGCCGCTGGTTCGCTTTTGTTTCTGTGTTCGGCAGGACGGATCGAGGAGTCGCCTCCTTCTCCCTCTGCTGCCGTCTCACCTCTCCTCCCCTCGTCCCCTACAGTACTGGAGTGAGGAGGATTTTTCGTGACATTTTTACTGACGTTTATGAACCCCCCCTGGCGCAGTGCCGACCGTGTCCCGCCTATACTTCTGGCCTGACGGCGGCTTCAGCCCCGGTCAAGCTAATCCATAGGAACGCCATGAGCTCCTACTGTGGCCAAGCCTCCTACCTGGGCGAGGGTCAGGCTGACCTTCACCGCGCGGGGCGTGCAAACCCCAGCTCCACCGATGGAGACGGGCCAGTTCGCTCCATACACCTCGTCAGCCTTAACATCACCAGTCTCGCAGCGAATTGGCCAACCATCACAGCCCTTGGTGTCGACCACAACGCCGCAGTCATAGCACTGCAGGAGACCCGACATGCCAAGCCGACTAGGCAAGCCATCGCTACCAGCGCCGCCAATCCACTCCACGGAGGATACCACGCCAGTCTTGGACCTGACCTTGATCTGGCGCGAGCCCAGCGCAGAGCTGCCCACGGCGGCACAGACCACACCGTTGTGGGCAACACTGGCGCCTCGGGAGGGGTCGCCATCCTCTCTAAGGATGCCATTGTCGACTCCACTGTCGACGACAATGCGCCCTGTATCGCCGCCCTCAAGGCCAAGAAAAGATGGCACGAGGTCTTTCTCCCGCTCTGCACTCAACACCGCCGCAGGCGGCGACGAAACAACCACGGGCCCGCGGGGATCTACATAGCGAGCCTCTACGGGATTGCTGGAGGAGACAGCACAGCTCTTTTTCGGCTCGCTGACTGCGCCGCCGCGAGGGTCGGCTCAGCCCCCTACTTCATCTGCATGGACGCCAATACGAACATTGACGACAACCCACACCTTCTGCACATGTTGCAGCACGGATGGTTCAACGTTGCTGAGGGCACACCAGACCACACCATGCACACATACGGCAATATCCCTGACTGGGACCGCGTCACCAAGTGCCCCCGTACTTCGCGCATCGATTATATCATTGCCAACCAAGCGGCGCGATCCCTTGTCACCGACTTCTGCTACCTTCGCGACTTGCCAGCGAAGTCTCATGTTGGCCTGCAGGTCACGCTTGACCTCAGTCGCCTCGACCATACGGCCCGACGTCTTCTTGCCCCCACGCCCTACCCTCCCGACGATGGAGCTCATGAGGGTCACGAGCTGCAGGCACTAGGGACCCTCATCGCTGGGCGATATCAGGACCGCATGGAACAGGCCGACACACGCGACGACGTGGAGCGCATGTTCGCCCTGGCTAACGAGGCCAGTCATGAGTACCATCTCACCCGTCTGCGCGACCTGCCACCTCCACCGCCCGACCACCCAAAAAAGAAGCCCCCCACCATGCACGGGCTTACGCCCACGTTCGAAGATCGACCAGTTGTCCCCCGCGCCTTCCCCACCTACGGAGCTTCCACGATACACATGAACCGACTGCGCAAGCTCCATCGGCAACTCTGTGAGCTCCGTTTCATCGGACAGCACCATCATTTGGATTGCCGTGCTATCCCGCCGTACCTCGCGCAGCGCATCGACTGCACGTGGACCGCGGCCCGCCTCTTATGCCACAAGCTGCGCCCCACGGTTCTCCTAGACTTCCCCGAGGCCTGGACCCCCGACGAGCCAGTGCCTCACGGAGAGCACCTTGACGTTTTGATCCAACACCTCGACTTGGAGCTGGCGCGACGTGCGAACCGTGCCAAAGCTGAACGCATCAAGATATGGGCTGAGGGCGTCCGCGAGCCAAGCGGGCGAAAGGCGGCCATATACGCACGGGCTGCTGACAGCTCGCCCACGGCGTATCTCCGCACGCCTACCACACCTGACGACACGCAACTCCACTGCGACACCAACGCCTTCAAACCTGACGAAGCTTGCACGGACGACAGCGACGCTGACACCGAAGCTGGCGGCTTCAGCCCCAGCGACGGTAGTTCGCCCGACACGGACAGCGACGAAGACCACACTCGTGAACCACCACCTGCGCAAGTCCCCGACATCCTCCCTGCCAACGCCATTGTTGCTAACACCAAGGACATGCTGAAGCTCATGGTCGACACCTGGGAGCCCATCTTGGGCAGGTACCGTGCACGTGCGGGACATGACGCCGAAGCCATGCCGACGTGGGCCGACTTCTACGACGAGTACCGACAGGAGCTGCCTACGCCAGCACCAGCTACCCCTTTCCACCTTACTGACGACCAACTCATCCACTTCATTCGCACCCGTTCACCGCGCCGCGCGGGGGGACTGGACGGCTGGACTACTAAGGAGGCTAAGGAGTTACCCGACGACATTCTTCGCCTCTTCGCCAGCGTCCTACGCGCTATGCAACGCACTGGCACCATCCCAGAACCCCTCCTCCACGTGCCAAACCCGTGCCTCCGAAAAGGCCGAGGCGAACTCCCAACGGACCAACGACTTCTCTCGGTGCTTTCCGTTTGGATGTATGCGTGGGAAGCGCCAGCTTACCGCAGCCTCACGGACTGGCGGAAAGGATGGACCCACGCCACGAGTTTTGGCGCTGTTCCCAAAGCTACCATTGGGGACGTCAGCACCTCTCTTGCCCTGCGCATCGAACACGCCAGGGCCTT